TTTGGGAGGTGCTTAGGTCTGAGGGCAGAGCCTTCACAAATGGGATTAGTGCCCTTATAAAATAGGCCCCATAGAGATCCCAGGCCCCTTCTACCATGTGAGTACACAGAAGAATGCTCTATCTATGAATCAGGAAGAGGATTCTTACCAGACCCCAACCTGCTGACACCTTGATCTTGGGCTTCCAGCCTCCAGAACCATGAGAAACAAATTTCTGTTGTGTATAAGCCACCCAGTCTCAGGCACTTTATTGTAGCAGCCTGAATAGACTCAGACAACTACTATCTTCTGTCTTCTTTCCAACTCAAACTTCGGGTCAGACTGAAAAGCTAGTTTGGACCTACTTTCCCGATGGATTAAAGCTGCCTTGTTTCAGAACCTATAGGCACCCACCTGCTAATATAGCACCTTTGTAAGAATTAGAAACAGGGGCTCTTATGACTGTCTTTGCTCCACAGGTGCATGGATAAGCGAAGGAAGATGTTGCTTTATGCTAATCAGGAAAATATTCTGAATCAGTTCGGTTCTGGCAAGAAACCAATGACAACTTAGAACTGAATAATTGAGGAGAGTGTAAGGAACACATCATTTACAAAGGTGTGGGCAGGATTTAGAGAAACCCACAAGAATTGGCACAGCACCCTGGGGCTAGCAATGGTGGGTATTCATTACCATCCCATCCTTGAGGAGCAAGAGGAGAGAACCCTGTGCTCAAAACCTGAGAGGATCTATAGTTACGGGAGCTGTGACCCTCGGTAAAGGGAGAGAGACCATTGATGGCCACCCAGTGGAGAGGCAGCTGAGAGAAAGTAAAACTCTTCCCTTTGATCTGACCAGTGCCTCCTATTGGTAGAACCAGCCAGAAGGTAGGGTCGAGGAATGCAGTCCATTCAGGCCAGCCACTCAGGGAACAGAGGAGGGTGAGGTGTGGGAACTGGATCTAGAGAGGCAAATGGAAAACATCCAACACAGGTGCCCCCTTCCTCCAGGCAGATGTGCCCCTGTCCAGACACACCTAAGGAGTGTGCATAGGTCACATTTCAGCCGCACTTCCTTTCCTTGGCCAGACACCCTTTTGCAGGGCATAGACTACACAACCATATGTGGAGGTCCTGACCTTTGAGGACCATACCCCTTTTCATGTGCAAAAATTTTATAAAAGGAACTCATGTCCCAAAGGTAAATAGAAAAAAATAAACCATTCCAAATAGATGTCTCCTCCAACCATATTTCTGCTCTTCTTCCAATTCTGCTCTACCTTCTCCATAAACTTCTTTCTTTTCTCTACCAAATGGCACAATCATCCACCTGGTCCATGTTCTCCCTTGTCTTCCACATTCAAACAATTGGTTATCAGCACATTGGTTCCCCTTTAGAATCTATCACCTCTTCTCTATTGTTATTATACTGCCACAGGTCATTATCCTCTATCCCCAGATTTACCACTACAGTCATTTCCAAACTGGGCTCCCTGTTACTCACACATATCCCATCCCACTTTTCTTCCACTCTCACACCATGGTCAGAGGTATCCTTCTAGATAGCACTGATAGGATTGCCTCATCTCACTGCTTAAAATCCTTCTGTGACTTACCTTTTCCCCTTAGGCAAGTTCAAATACATCAGTCTGACACAGAAGACTCCATAAGACCCTGCCCCCACTAATTCCTCCAGCCTCATTGCTCACCACATCCTGCATGTTCTCCTTACTCCTGAATGCTGACCCTCTTGCAATTTATCCAAAGCACCATGCTCCCTCCCACCCCTAGGGCTTTTCCTAGGCTATTCTCTCTGCCTAACATGACTTCACCCCTTTACACCATCCAACTGATGTCTATTCCTCCATCAAGGCATAGGTGAAGTATCTCTTCTTTTTGGAAAACAGTCTTGACCCTTCTCTCTTCTCCTGCAAGATGACTTAGGTGCCCTTTACTCGTACCCATTTTCTGCACCCCATTAACACCTCTGTGCAGCTCTCTTGATAGCACTTATGACACTTTCTCTCACTGCTAATTTTCTTGTCTGTCACCCTCACTATCCCTGCAGCCCCAGTACCTAACACTGACCGGCTCTACCTATCATAGGATCTGCAAGTGCTAATTGAAATGAAGTAGGTTGTAATGAAATGGAATCTTCCCTGGTTGGCGCTGCCTGACTTCAATCCAGTTAATCCATTATCATGTGTGACTACTGACTTTGTCAACATGCTACTCCTGCTTTATGGTTTATGACTGAATGTAATTTGCTTTGTCCTGCTTTCCTCGTGGTTTATAAGCTTTTAAGACAGAGAGAAACCTATCTTCTAATTCTGAATGATTTCTCACTCAAATTCTGTTTGAATATTTTGCCAGACACTGGGAAAAACCAAAGGAAATTAAGCATTAATGAGGTCACATTCCATAGAAAAATAAACCCCTCCCAGCTCTCTTCTCTTAAGGGCATGGCCTCAATAAAATTTTCAAGGTAGCTATTTAAAAAGTACCTCTTTTGCCACCATTCACTTCATTCACATCTAACTGAATGTGGAAGGAACCTGGAGTGAGTGAGTGAAATATATATTTTTTAATCTTACTTGGGTAAGAACCTTGAGAAAAGAGCCTGGGGATACCTCTGTGTTTGCTCTCTTACTCCCCTTCCTTATTCACGTAACTCACATTTGTTTTTTAATTGTGTGCCAAGTGTTCTCCTAAGGTTATAAACTGAAGATTGCTGTGATGCAATGGTGGCTAGTACTTGCCCAAGTGTTTGCCCAGATACAGAACACTGCCACACAGGGCATCTCATTTAACTTTCATTAGCCAAAGAGGTGGGCATTGTTAGTGCACCTGTTTTCCCGATGATCAGACGCCTCAACTTTAAAAACTCTCTCATCATACCCCTCACTCCAGTCACTGCCTCATCAGTCAGCTCTGAGGGACTTCCCAGCTTCACTCAGATACAACTGGACAGCATCTGTCTTTGGGTGTGCACTCCTGCTTCCTGCCCTGGGGTGTCTCTGACGTCTCAGATGAGCAGCCTGTTGCATGTACTGGCAGCTTAAATATTGTCAAACTTAGGAATGAAGGGGGGGGTCTGTGCTCATGTGGGCTCCCTCAGTCATCAGAGACCCATTTTAAAGGGCTCCTCCCAAGGTTTAAGGGCCCATTGCTTGCATCATTGGCCAACTCAATAACACATCCTTGTGTTGGCTCTTTCTTCATCTCCATTTCACTTTTCCTTCCCTCACTTCTACTCCTTGCAGTTTCTTCTCAAATAAACTACCTGTACACAGCATTTTTAACTCCAGCTCTGCTTCCAAGGAAACTGAACTATAATCATGAGCTTGGATGACTCTCCAAGTATCCCAGTTGTTTCCATGGAAGACTGTAATTCATAGTCAGGTCGACTGACTCCCAAATTCCATGTGCTTTTCTCTCTACCCTCCTTGCATTGAAAGAACTAATAGTCTAAGTACTTAGAGGCTTAGCTACAGAAACAACTAACTACAAAAGAGAGGTGTCAAGTCAAAAGTAGAAGCAAATGAATTTGGAGCACAGAAAAGAGTGATCAGTTGAATGAGGGTGGGTGTGTGGGCTGGTGAGGAAATGCTTCACAGGGCAGGTGGCCAGGAGGCCTCTCCTAATCACTCTCAACAGGCGGTCCCATCTGGTATTTTCTCTGCTAGCATAGTCATCTCCTTCTTAGCAATTAATCACAATGTGTAAGTAAATATTTGTTTCTATTTGTTTATTGTCTCTATGTCCCAAGAGGGCAGGTACCACATCAGTTTTATTTACCACAATATCCCTGGCACTGAACACAGTGACTAGAACATAACTAATGATCAATAAATTAACTAGCAAATTAAAAAAAATCAATCTTAATTGGTGAACAAATCAATAAATTTGTTCTTAATGAACAAATGAATCAGTAAATGAATGGTATCACAGGCAAAGTGAACAGAATAAAGAAAAGCATGGAAGAGTATGAGAATACAATCTATCCAGAGAAATGTCTGTGGTTGGTTATATAGGATGTATTTGTTTGGAAGAGTGGAAAGGCCAGAAGTGGCTGAGGAAAGTATCTCTTACAGTAACATTGAGACTATATAAATATTCAATATATAATACTGCTGGGCAGATAATGTTGCCTGATAACTGCCTATAAAACTTGGGTTATATACTGCACTAAGTGTGTTTTCTGCTCTGTCAGACAGTTGGTGTTGGCAGGGCTGGACCTTGTTTGCAGGTGTGGGCCCTTGCATTACAGGTATGCCTTGGATTATCTGCTGCCATTGTTGCCCATTGTATTTTGTGCAGTTGTATATTGGCAGATCCTGTCCTAAGTCCCACCTGCTGGCTGTGCTTCTAGTTCTGCCTACCTCAGAGTTTCTGTTTAGGACTCTTGCTGCCCTTCATTCTCTGTCTTGCCTTTCTCATCTGAACTCTTACAGCATGTAACACCAGACTTCAGACCCTTAAGAACAACACAAGGCAGTATAAGATACCTTCTAATTCATTAATTCAAGCATATATTAATGGCATACTATGGGATAGACACTATACCGGGCGCATGTCTCTCCTGGTTGACTCATGATTCTATGCACTCTGCACTGTTCAGCTGCCTTGTTTCTCACCTGACAATTCAGAGAGTTACCACTGCCTTCTCTCCGCTCTGGTTTGCTGTGGTGGGCTCACCTAACCTCAATACCTTTCTTGTGGACCATGTTAGCTAAGGATGCTGCTACAAAATTATGATGGAATGATTTCCCTGCTGCCCTGCCTTCAACACAACTCAAGAAAAAAAAAAATCAAAATATTCCAGCAACCCTCAGACAGTTTCTCTTCTCACTCCCAGAAGTCTGGTTAGAAGTGGACAGCTACCCATTCCTTTCTGGCTCCTTGACAGCTAAGATTGTACCCTTGGTGTATTGACATTTCAGGAACAAATGAAACTCACCTTTACCATTGCTTATTTTTAGTGTCTCTGCATTTATATTTAGAAAAGCAGTTCTGACAGGCCTCCAAGAGCAACATTCCTGCAATTTTTGCTGGAGCATGGGGAGGCCACAAGGAGGGAAAGGAAGTCATGCATGTTATCCACTGTTTATTTCCTGGACCTAGTGCCCAGCACAGGCACATGTACTATAAAAGAGGCAAAGCGAGAGCAAGAGCCAGGGCTCACCTCCAATTGCTCACACCTGGCCATTCAGCAAGCCTCCTAGTGGCACACACCGGCTTCACTTGCAGGGTTCCTAAGAGAAAGGGTAAGTGAAAATCAGGAGGACCAAAAGAGGTGCTGACTAAAAACTGAAGTAAAATCACTCCCAACCTACAACTTGACATATTTTTTCTTCTTTTCAGTTCCTACAAAACATGTTCCTGCGTATTTTTAAAAAGTTCTAAAATAAGTATTATATTCATGTAGTATAAAACTCAAAAGGAAGATTTTGTAACATCTATCATAGACAAAGGATTAATAACTCTAATACCTCTTGGACATTAAGGGACAAAAGACCAAAAACTTGAGAGAAAAATGAACAAAAGACATGAACAAACAATGATAGGGACGTGTTAAAAGAACACACTGGCCAAATTCAAGTGGTTCTTCTGAATGGTGAAATCTGGGATAATTTGAGCAACAAAATAAATGTTGATAGTAGATATAATGCAGAGAATAAAATAAATATCTATGAGTCCATTCTGACATAAATAATTAAGTAAATAAGTAATTAAGGTGGGAGAGGGAAAGCTCTTTCTCACAGCAGAATTCCAATCCCTAAGTATAGAAGCAATGGTGAAAATATAAATTTTTGGGGCGCCTGGGTGGCTCAGTCGGTTAAACGACCTACTCTTGATTTCGGTCAGGTCATGGTCTCAGGATCCTGAGATTGAGTCTGTGCCTGAGCCGGGGCCCTAGCCCCATGCCCAGCCCCACGTTGGGCTCTGCATTCTGTCAGGAGTCTGCTTGAGATTCTTTCCCTCTCCCTTTGCCCCTCCCTGCCCTGTCCTCACTTGTGCTTGCACTCACTCTCTCTCTGAAATAAATAAAAAAACCTTAGAAAAAAAAAAAGAGGCTACAAAATACTAATCAGCCAACACTACATTAGTCATAGATAAGAATCCCACTCCCCCTGCTTGTGTTCCCTCTCTCGCTGTGTCTCTCTCTGTCAAATAAATAAATAAATCTTTAAAAAAAAAAAAAAGGAATCACCCATAGGAGCTGAAGTTCCTGGGATAAATAGATTAAGGCAAAAATATTTGCATAGCTTCAAAGTCAGAGTCAAGCTCATGAGACATATTGATCACATAGTTAAGTGAGTTTCCATAACTAAAAAGCTATTCTTTTCTCCTATTTCATGGGGATATACTTGGAAGCTATGCAAATATTTTTGCCTTAATCTATTTATCCCAGGAACTTCAGCTCCTACAGGTGATTCTTATCTATGACTAATACTGTAGTATTTGCTTATTTTATAGCCTCTTTTTTGATATGATGTGCGGAAAAGAGCACAGCACTGCTTCTGTGATATTCTTGCCAAAAGTGTATTCCCTGAATTTTGTCAGGAGGAAACATTAGCCAAACTCAAACCAAGTACATTTTACACAATAACTGGTCATTATTCAGCAAGGTCACAAAAGAAAAACCAAGAGAACTATCCTAGATTGGAGGAGAGCAAGGCAACGTGAACCCTTGACCCTGGAACAGAAAAAAGACATTAGTGGGACAACTGGTGAAATCTGAAAAAGACCTGTAAATAGCTAATAGTATTACAGTTAGGTTAATTTCCTATATGGTGGCTTTATAAGGTGTTAACATTTGAAAAGTAAGAGACAAGAAGTTTCTGATACTTTCTGCAAATTTTTCCTAGACCTGAAAATTTTTCAAAATAAAAAGTAAAAATAAATAAAATTTTAAAAGGAAGAAAAGGGTATACAATGTTCCCTTTAACCCATTCTCCAGGAATAAATTTCTTTCCAACAGAGAGCTACCGTTAACAGCTTCTCACTTATCCTTCCAGAGATTTCCCATGTAAACAAACACATGGATATTCATCATGTGTTTATGCATATATGTATTAAGAGATCCTTCTATATAAGTATATGTCATCCACCTAATGACTGTTTAATATTATATAGATTATATGTATTACATACATTAATTACTGATGGTCATTTATGGTTCTAATATTTTGGTATTAGAAACAATACTACAATAAAGGCTTTAGTTCCTGTATATAGTACTTGTAGTATAAACTTCTGGAAGTGTAATTTCTGGTTCAAAGTGTATAAAGATCTTAATTTTTATCGATATGCCCAAATTGGTCTCCACAAGTGATGTACTGGTTTATATTCTTATCATCAGGGTAGACAAGTGCTGATAATTTGTGTTTTGTCAACACAGCGTATAGAGTGCTCTTTGCCCATATGATAGGTAAAAAACATACCTGACTGTAATTGTGATATGCATTTCTCTTGCTGAGAATCAAGTTAAGGCTTACTTCATATATGTAAACTCCATTTGTGTTTTCTTTTCCATGAACTGTATATTCTTTTTTTTTTTTTAAAGATTTTATTTATTTATTTGACAGAGAGAGACATAGCGAGAGAGGGAACACAAGCAGGGGGAGT